GGGAATTCTTTAAATTTAAAGTCCGTCAAATCTCAATCAAACACAGTAAATTAAAAGCTATGCAAAATAAGGAAAAGGAATTAGAAATCATTCAAGAACTTAGTCACATCTGCTCTAAACCGTTTTTTAATGAAGATGACAAGCAGCGCAAAAACATTCTACATTCTGAATTAGATGATTATACTTATATACTTATACTAATACTATACTACTTATATATACTTATACTAAAAAAGGCAAAGGAGCATACCTGAGGTCCCGAGCTGAGTGGATTGAAGATGGTGAGAAAAGCACTGTGTATTTCTGCAGATTAGAACAATTAGACAAAAAAGAAATGCAATAAATTGCTCGCAAATTAATATTAAACCATGCACTGATTCGAAATTAATATCCAAAGAAATTTGTAGTTTTTATGGCAATTTATATACTTCTGCATATAATAACTCCATGGCAGAAGCATTCTATCATTCTATTCAACACTTGATTCCAAAAATGGATGACAATTTTAAGCAGATATGTTGTATTATGAAATTTAGGCAGGATGGGGATGAGTCGGTGATAAAGATGCACACACAGATACACACACTGTGTCTGCTAGAGTAAAATGTGTTGTTTTATTCCGCAACAGAACACAGCAAAGCAAGCACATCAATCAAGGTATGGTGCTGAATACAGATTATATTGTCCCCTTTACCGTGACACAAAGGATCGGAGAGCCGGTCGATCCTGGCAGGGCAGCAACCCGCGCAGCTAGGCGTTCGTACGCAACCCTAGCAGACCCTGCCAGCGCCAACCGCCATCATTTATGCCAAACTTCAAAGGAAAATCTTTCACCCAATCAGGAAAGTGATCGCTCCCTCTCACGCCTGGAGCGCATGATTACAGAAACCAAAATATGTTTCCGGCATCCCCTGAACCCACCCAGGGCTCATGGACAGCCGAAACCAAAAACAAGTTACATCATGGTCAGAGCATGGCACTGAGAGCTCATGAGTACAAAAACAAATGATATCATGCTCTCAAGGAAACAGAAACTTAGATAATGAGAGTGTTTAGGTAATAAGAGGGCTTCATTTGTGATACAAAACTTGTATGATTGTTAAAGACCATAAAATATAAAACCCATATATATCATATGTGAAGCAGACATCACCATAGAGGAATTGGATAAAGCTTTGGGTTCTTTATCCAAGGACAAAGCTCCAGGCTGTGATGGTCTAACAAGTCATTTTTATAAACATTTTTGGGATCACATCAGAACCCTTGTGTTTGGAATGCTTACAGAACTATTAGAACACGGCTGCTTAACCCACACTATGAAACAAGGTGTCATCACGCTGATTCCCAAAGATGGAAAAGATCCATCACTTCTTGATAATTTAAGACCAATAACTCTATTAAATTAGCCTGACGTAGTCCGACTCAATTCTAGTCAGAATATGAGTCTGATACTGCTCCATAGAGCTGTGATTATGGGGCGTGTTTTGAACGGACCAGGAAAAAAATGCCTCTGCACTCAATTGGATAGACCTACAACCAATAAGAGCAGCGGAGTGCGTGACGTATGTTAAGCGAGGCATAGTTGTTGTCCACAAAAATCAAAGCGTGCAGTTTCACGCCTAGAATAAGAAGATGAGCCTTGATCGCGTTTCTCTGTTCCTCTTTTAAAATTAATTTGCTGTCGATATCTTCTAGAACAGACCTGATAGCAGAATCTACTCACCCAAACTCTCCAGCGGCAGCCATTATTGTTGTCACCCAAGCGCGCTTTGGTCACGTGGTTGATAACGTTACTCTTGATCATCTGTCCATCATCGTATAAAGCCCGCCCTGACAATTTGATTGGATCGCCTGACAGTGGGCTTTAATACTCGCGCTACTATGGAGCAGAGCCAGACCGAACTTCCCCGAACTCAAACCTTGTGGGCGGGGCTAAGTTCGGACTGGCACCCAGGCTACTATTAAATAATGATTACAAGCTTTTGACCCACATTTTTACTAAAAGGTTAAAATCAGGCATATCCCAAATTATTTCTGACACTCAATCTGGGTTTATAAAAGGTCGCTCTATACATAATAACATCCACCTTATTCTGGACTTAATTGACTATAACCATTTAATTGAGAATGAAGGCTTTGTATTATTTTTAGACTTTTATAAAGCCTTTGATGTGATAGAACATGAATTTATGTTCAAAGCTTTAGATTTATTTTGGTTTGGAATTAAATTTATTAATGTAATTAAAACATTTTATAAAGATGCAAACTGTTCAGTGGGTCTTCTACATGGTACCTGACAAAGATTTAGCATCAACAAAGGTAGAAAACAAGCTTTTTCAATTTCTTCTCTGCTATTTATTACTGCTGCAGAAATGCTTTCCATATCAATTAAAAAAGCTCAATTTGGTAAATTATTGGTGGAAGGCAAAGAGTTTTCTATTAGTCAGCTAGCTGATGACAAAACCATCCTCTGAAATAAACCTGAATGAAATTCCCAAAATCCTTAAATTGATTGAAACGTTCTCAAAGGCTTCAGGACTTAAATCAAATTTAAACAAATGTGAAATTTTGCCTCTAAAAAACTGTCCAATATCTAGTGCTTTTAATATAAATATAAATAAAAATAAATCTAACTTGGAAAATTTGAATATTTGGGAGAAACTTCAAAAACGTAAAACTCATTTAAATAAATGGGCACACAGAGATTTATCTATTCTAGGAGGAATATTTCTCACCAAAATGGAAAGTATTTCCAGACTTATCTACCCTGCAGATACATTAGGAATACCCAGTTCAGCAATCAAATCTATTAACAGGAGGAATTTTGACTTTATATGCAAACAAAAATCTCACTATATATAAAAAAAAGGTAATTTAATGAAACAATTTGAAGAAGGAGGACTACAAGCTATTGAATTTGACAGCATTAATGGCACTAAGAAAATGAATTGGCTTCGGTCATTTTTTAATAAATCAAAATCAATTATGGTTCCATATTCCAAGTAAAATATTTTCAAACCTGGGCGGAATTAGATTCCTTCTTAGATGTGACTTTGATATAAAAAAGCTACCCGTTAAACTTTCCTTCTTTCACCAGCAGATATGATTATATTGGAGATTAATCTATAAACATAACTACAGCCCACACAATGCTACCTTGTGGAATTGCTGTTACATAAAAGTGAATAAATCAATCTTTGCACGTCTCTTGCTAGAACAAGGTGTTTGGTCTGTGATGCATTTGTTTAATAATGAAGGGATTACATCTTATGAAGTGTTCAGAATTAAATATAACTTGCAGATAACCAAAGGTGAATTTCAAAAGATTATTAGAGCTATTCCCCCAAATATTTTATGCACAGCTAAAGATTTTTATGAGAATTTCCGTAAAAGTTCAAAAAAATCCACTGTTTCCAAGATCTGAAGACGTTTCGCCACCTCTCCAGATGTAGTTTTCTTAAAGTCAAACCATCTTTCCCCTCTTTTCACAAGGAACTCTGCCACCTCTTCTTATCTCTAAAATTAATGGACAAAAAACAAGAAATAATCTGATAAATAATCTGGAGCTGATGAGACACCGCTAATGTATGTGTGCTTGTAGTTTCTCTTTTTTTCTTGTTTGTGCTTTATGTATTTTTATCTTTAATTTTTTTCTTTTTTTTATCTTATTTGTTCTGTAAATGTGGAAGCAATTTGGGTCGGCTCCTCAAAGTTTTTCATGTTTGTATACATCTGATGCCGACACGTTGTCTACTGCATGTAATGGTTTATAATATAAAACAAAATCTTTTTAAAAAAATTATATTTCGTCTCCATCTTAAATGAGTTTTCTGATTCAGAGGTCAATAAGTGGAGAACTGCTTACCTTAAATATCCTCTCAGTCCTAAAGCTAAAGAAGTTCATTTAAAATTATCAATAACATTTTTCCATCCAGGGAACATTTAAGACAAAGATTCAACTTTGACACTAACAGCTGAACCTTTAGTGACGACGACATTGAAACAACAGATCATCTCTTCTTCTATTGTTTGCTCACTGGTACATTTTGGAGAAACTTTCAGGACTGGATCTCAACCAAACTTTCCCTCCATCTTCCCTTAGAAAGAGAGGATATAATATTTGGAACCATCCGCAGAGACAGAAGAACCGACCTCATTCTGACCAACCTGCTGATCTTTGTGAAATTCTTCATCCATTCCTGTAAATGCGCTGATAGAAAACCTGACTTTTCAGCCTTTAAAGACCTTCTAATGGAAAACCACTTCAGAACCTTAAAACAGATCAAAACCAGCATGGATTACAGCTCTGAGACGCCTTTAATGATCTGACTTCTTTTGCCCCTTTATCTCTTTCTGTTTGTTTTAGTAGTTCTGTTATCCATCTGTTTGATGTCTGACAAAATTTATTTATATTTTTGGTTTACTTTTTTTAATTGCTGTCTTAGAATTATATGTGTTCCTTAATCCTGTAAGACTTGATTTCTTCATGTATATAAATGAATTTGATATTGAACAATTGTTTATAATGTTCAATAAAAATTACATAAATGAATTAAAAAACACCCAATGTTTACATTCTGCCCGGTCTGACTAGGGAGTACCAATATGGCAGCGGGTAACGTCACAGCACCGTGTTCTACAAACGATTTTCTCAGGAAAATCATTATTATCCTTTAAATGATTATAGTTTCGTTCATTTATTGGTTTGATTTTGTTTTTTAGGAGGGAAGCAACGTAATTTTACATCGAGCGTGACCCGGAAGTAGATGTAGCTGCGCATGCGCAATGAGCTGCTGGTAATGATCGGGTAGCATTAGCAGCATTAGCTTAGCTTGTGTGTGGAGTCATTGTAGAGAGGCTGATAATCTGGGAGTGTTTGCAGTGAGAATGTCTTCAGTCCAGCTTCAAGGAGAGTTTATCACCGAGCAGTTAACTCCTGCTGAAGAAACATTCACGGAGTTTAAAGGGAGTTTGGTCAATTCGGAGGAAAAGATGGACGATCAACATCTACTGCTGGATTTCACCAGGATCCCCCAGATCATCTTACACCGGATAGGTAGGAAACACCTGATAGAAACGATTCCCTGATGATGCACACTGTGGATTTTAGCCTCATCTGATTGGAAAACTGCTTAGAGGAGATCAACATGCTAAGCTAAAGCTAACCTACGGTCGACGGCCATCTTACTGCGGTCAGCTCGCTCACTTCCAGCATTGGGTTTTAATGACTGCGGTCAAGTTAGTCATTTTCTCCGGTTAAACCTCTTCTTCGCTCCGAGTTCACTGCAATCACAGAAAGCCGTCTCTACCATAGAGATAATATTAGAGTAGACCCCGCATTGACTGTCTCTGCGCAGACATTACGGGCGCCATATTGGGGAGGTCATCCTGCTGCCCTAACCTGCTGCTTTAAGCAGAACAGTAGAAGGATGCCTCAGCACTGCAGCGGAGTTTAGTTTAAATCAACAGACTGTTGACATCAGGGCTGGAGGGAGAACTTCATGAAGGCATCAGAGCTTTGGAAGACATTACTAAATAAACAGCAGATATACACTACATAGAATAGAAACTCCCTTTGTTGGCCCACTGTGGGGAAATAGTGGAGTTACTGCAGCACTTAAAAACAACCACAGCTGATCAAAGGGCTGCAAAGAAAATAAATAAGCAGAACATAAAACAGTTAAAACAAAGGTAAACAAAAAGGTCAGAATAAATGTCCTCATTTCAGGCCTCAGATCTATCAAACACGTGTTTGATGGATGTGAATAATGGGAAATATTGTGGGAAACTGAAGTGTTGTGATCAAAAACCTCATTGTGAAAAAAAGCATCTGAGTCTGCAGAGTCCTGAAAGTTGGGATCCAGGAGGATCTGGAAGAATATGGACTGTAAAACACTCCAACAGCTGGGATGAGGTTTAAATCCATAAATTAGGATTACAGTACTTTAGATTGGGATTTCTAATGATCCTTCATTGCTTCATGTGGCTGTTATGACACTGCCATGGTCTGTAACCATGTTCATAAAGTTACCTGTGATCTCATGTTCCCTTCTATCAGTAGAGCTGCGTTATTAGATTTGCAGCCAGATAAAGTTTTTATTAATAATGTTTTTAAATTTTCATGCAATTTGAAAATACTTTGAGTTTGTTTGTACTATGAGCCCAAATACTGTATGCTTCACTGACACAATTAGAGGGAGAAAATGGTAAACTCATCAGAAAATGCTCAGTACCAGGTAGGGCTGGGCGATATGGAAAAAAAACTATATCACGATATGGATTATTTTATATAACGATATATATCACGATACACCACAACTGATGTTGCATTTTATGTTTTCATAGTCCGTCAGATGGACAGGGTTGAAAAAAATCTTTCATCGCCTATTTTTTACCCATCATCTTGTTTTCTAATATGAGAATCCCAACCCCAAACCAAGAACACCAGTAATGCGATTTGCGGCCATGACAGTGAACAGTATAGAATCTTGGCTATTGCGCTGCAGTAATTAATCATTTAATATTCGTTTGTTATTGACATTTTATAACATTTCAAGGCCAGGTTTTTCTCTTGTCTTTCACTTACCTTGTTTTCCACTAGGAGGCGCCTCGCCTATTTAAGAAGAAATGTGTCTGCACTGGTAATAACTACATTAATTAAAATGCCCACATGTTCTACTGGATAGGAGTGTCAGTGTAGTTAAAAATGTGATCCATCATACGACCTGTACCACAATTATGGGTGTTTCAGTTGTTCTCTTTATTTTTCAGCAGTCACAAGAGAACAAGCTGCACAGTTTAAAAACATGGAACACAACAGTACTATACAACAAACTATAACAAACAGTACACACTAATACACACAGTATGATTTACTCTGAAGGGGAAAAAGTGAATGCTACAGCACCTTTGTGTGTAAACACAACACTCACAGGTGCAGTAGCCTTCACTTTTCCCCCCTTCAGAATAAATTATACTATCAGTGAGGTCCAGTAATGGATGCGTATGCTGTAAAAGCACACAGTTCATTGGTGTAAGCATATTAGTAAAACCAATAATAGTAAAACTAGCGAACGCACAAAAGTGCATAGCAATGTCAGGCTCATACCTTGGGCGAGCATCACTCCGGTGTGGTCCTCAGGAAAGTACATGGTCTGTAGACACCGAGCGCGGAGGGTCCAGTCCTTGATGAAATGGATGGTGAGACTCATATAAGGCTGTGTTGCTCTACTCATCCACATGTCCGTAGTCAACGCATAATGCGTCGCACCACTGCGTACCTCTCTCTCCACTTCAGCCCGACAACTAGCATATAAGCCAGGCAGCTCCACTTTAACGGTAACATCTTCTTGGGTGTCCATCATTCATTTTTTTTCAAGCCAGAAAGAAATTTAGCGGGCTCTCTCCGTCAGTAATGTCGCAAACGTATGGTGCAAAGCCGCGTGACGTAAAGCGGTGTAGTGTCGCAAAACCACGTTTTCTACACATTATCTTTTTATTCTCTTTTTTTTTTTTCGTTATATACACTTAGAGTTTGCATAGCAAAAACGCAAAATGTTATATTAACAAATTATATTAAAATGTATATTAGCAGTAATAATAATAATAAAAAAGTTTATCACGATAGAAAAAATAGAGGAGAAAGGTCACGATAGACAGGTTTCTCTCGTCCTCACGATATATATCGCCATATCGCCCAGCTCTAATTCCTACTCTGCCGTGGGGTGCCTCCCCCCGCTCCCGCAGGAGTCCCTCTCAGCGCTGCAGTCAGAGCCGCAGGATGTTTACCCTCAGCGTCCAGACTGCAAATGAAGCACGCATGCACCGGGATTGACGTCGCAAATTGATCACAATAATTAAAATAGCCTGCGCTTTGTAAAGTGAAAAAAGTCGTAACATGCAACTTTTGTCAAAACAAATTAACATGGCACGGAATCACCATGTTTGTTTTGTTTTAAAGTGGGGAAACGTAACGTTAGTTTCTCAGGTAGCTCATCTGATGCTTTCCTTACCGTGTTAGTAGGTTACAGACAGTGATAAGGTTGGCTATTTATTTTACTTTTAATTTCATTTGAATTAGCTTAAGCAGCGTTTATATTTACTTTATAAATAAATTAACTTGCAAATTATGAGGGCAAGGCTTTTAAAGTTTAAATCTTCTGGCAAAAATAAAGTAAAGATCGTGCAATTTATGGAAGTAAAGCAGAATAAAATCCAGCAAGATCAGTAATATGTCAATTAATTATATGCCACATTCCCATGTAAATATCTGTCTTTGGAGGATGGTTTTTTTAGCACCCCTAGTTCTCTCATTTTTATTCCAAATACAATTTATAATTTGAATCACAGGGCTATTTTTATCTCTATGGTTCAGTATTTTCTCAAGTAGCATCTTTAACTGCTATACTTTCCTGTCTTAAAAGGCAGAACTCTTCTAGTCTAAAAAAACTCATTTGTTGAAATGGGGGGACCTATTGTTTGAACCCCTTAGGGGCTTTTAAAAACAAAAATGTCTTTTTTGTGCTTTATGAAACAAAGTAGCCTATATTTTGTGGATGTACAGCTACATTTCTCATGTAAGTTTGCGTAGTTTTAACACAAACATTTATTTTTCATATTGCACCAGTACAGTTAATGAGCAACCTGTACTTGTGTGCTTGTTGGTTCTGTCTAAAATGTTTATTTTGGAATAAAGAGGTTAATATAAAAAATATTTTTTGTCCGATTCATCGATTAATCGAAAAAATAATCGGCCGATTCATCGATTTTTAAAATAATCGTTAGTTGCAGCCCTAGTTTAAACACTCTTAGTTTGGGGAATATATACAATTATGCTCTGATTTGTAGTTAACAATCCATCGTTACAAACTGGATCTTCTCTGTGTTCTTTTTCCTGTTTGGTGCGATTGTAATTACGGATCTTGACCTGGACGGACCAGCCGGAGCGGAGCAAAAAATAGCTCGGCTCCATATTTAGATGGTGAAGGACGGAGAAGACGCACGCGGACGGTGACGAGTTTAGGAGTAGCGGTGGTCGTGGAACAGCTCTCATTGGTTAACATGACAGACAAATACTCCGCACGGCGTACGTGAGCGCAGCGCACTATGAAAAAATAGAAGCTGCTGTATTAATTTAATGGAGAGAAACATTAGCTCTTATCAGAAGCCAACATCCTCAAAGTGGGTTCATCCTCTGCTTATTAATTCCAGTAAACAGACGCTGTTAATTGCTCTTTTATTCTTTAGTCTCCAGTAGGCTTGTCCCGATCCGATACGTGGATCGGATCGGGACGCCGATATTGGCAAAAGAATGCGTATCGGCAAAGCATATAAAAATGCCGATCCAGACTGCCGATCCAGTTTAAAAAAAAAAAAGTCCGGTCCGTATTTTCCAGTTTCGCCGATTGAAACGATCCATTCCACTATTTGTTTCCCGAATCCGGTCCACATTTTCCAGAACACCTTCAACACACCCACAGGTCTTTTTGGGTCTGTCTCCCGACCTAACCATTAAAACAGGTGAATTGGAAGATAGTGGTAGCCGTGTGGGATTATTTTATCCTGCACGATGTATAGATGGAGACTAGGTGTGGAGGAGATTGTGGAGTATAAGGCATTTTTGTGTAATAGTTCACTATAATTTGCACTGATTTTTTTTTAAGCAGTGTCTTTTTTCAAGAGTAAAGTCCTGATTCTAAGTTAATAGAATATTTTCCACTCTTGTCTGTTTGCATTTTTATCAAAAGTTACAGTAATATAGCGCCTTTAACTGTTTACAGTTTTACTGTTCACTGTGCAATTTCAGATTGCTATTCATAATTTTGTCCAGTTTGTGTTCATCTCTTAATAAACAGGTAAGTTTGTTGTTACCAAGCATTGTGTTTTATTCAATCTCACCTAATTCAGCTGGCTAGATGCTATCAAGAGTACTAAAACCCTTTTCAACATGAGTCTTACAACTAAGGCTAAATACTTTAACTTAAACTTAAATACATGCTCGGATAGGCTGGTATCGGCCAGTATCGGTATCAGATCGGAAGTCCAAAAACAATATCG